TAATTTCATTTGTAGATCTTTCCATTTCTAATTTATAAATACATTTGGGGTTATAAATTATAAATGTACTGCCTCCTGTCAACATTGTATACTTCTATTTGATGATTTCTGTGTCAAACATTCTATGGAAATGTTTCCAAGTATTTTCTGTATTAACTGTGAATGAACAGAACAAAATAAATTGCCTGTGATGAAAAAAAAAATAAGCCATGTAAAGATGGAAATAACACAGAGAGTCTGGATTATATTGTCTTTGGGATTTTTAACTTCAGAGAGACATTTGATTGTAAAGGCTACCCAGTTAAATCAATATGTATATTTTAAAGATATCTTGACTTCAAAATTTGGATCTAAGGATATGTTACTTTGGAAAGGAGGCTCTGCTTTTGTTTCCACAGGAAGCAAGAGGGTATAGTTTTGTTCCAGGTTAAGATGGATCTGATTTGGTCAAGCCAGACCTCATGAACCTTAACAGATGGTACCTATCAACAAAGGTTATAGCCAGTCTTCCTAGAACTTGATCATTATCTCAGATTTTCTCAGGATCCCCATAAGAATACAACACCATCAATCAGCAGGAATTAGCCTAGTACACTATGCCCACATTCCCCAAAAATGGATTATGGATATTTGTCTTTGTTAGAGATTGGTCATAATCAATATCTTTCTAAAATGAAAAAGGGGGATATGATATAGATATGATAGGATGAAAGGTAGATTATTGAATCTACTTTTAAAGAGCAACTTGTTTTAAATTGCTATAGATTTTAGTTTATTGATACAAATTTAAAGTTAATTTTGTTATACTGTATGTATATTTCTACTCTTGTTTAAGGTATTATGTTTGTGCAGCTTATTTGAAATTGTAACAGATAATTAAGAAATATAGATTAATAATTAGTTTTCTATGATAGTCAAACTTTTAGTCATGTTAGTTAAGTTTTCTAGGTATACATAGACATAATTCAATTAGGTAGGTAATCTTCAAACACTTCAAAGACCTACAGAATATGGCATTTAAAATGTTCTAAAAACTTATAGACTTTCCTGGACATTGAGGCACATCTGCTCCTGGCAGCACCAAATTTACTTCAAAGAGGAGCATGGGCATTGAAGACACTCCATATGGAGTTTATCTTCCTCTTGGCAAAAATAGCCATTTGGGCAAGAAACTGTTCTGCCTGGACTGCTTGATAAAATGTTGTATCAACTGGACATTCAGGACCCATACAAAGGTGACTACTGAACTTTGCAAAGCCAGAAGGTCCTTCAGGTTCCTGCTTCGCAGAAGAAACTACCAGGCATTCTACAGGACACAGAAAGAAGTGACTGAGAGACTCTAGGCCTGTGGGCTGAAGAAGGATGCCCCAATGTTACAGAGGAACTTTGGATTATTGTCTAAGCAGCCAGCTGTCTCTATCATTCTAGATTTTTGGAAGTTGCTTACAATGCTTTTCCTGTTTACTTAGGTAATATTATATCCTTCTGAGGTCTTTGATGTAGTTGAAGATTAGATAGTTATAATTTTCCTTAGTTATGATAAAAGATAAATTAGATATGAACCTTTAGACTCATAAAAATAGGATATATAAAATATTTTCTTTAATTTTATCAAATAAAAATAGGCTAGATATTGTAACTGTAATTCTTGCTTGATAACTGTTCTATTATATGTAATTTTACTATGTTAAAGTTAAAACCTTCCTTTTTGATTAGACAGAAAAGGGGAAGTGCTGTGGAATGTCATTCTGTATGCTGTGGATGTGTGTTGCTATGATTGGTTGATAAATAAAACACTGATTGGCTAGGAGCCAGGCAGGAAGTATAGGTGGGGTGAGCAGATGAGGAGAATTCTGGGAAGAGGAAGGCTGAGTTAGGAGTTGCCAGCCAGACACAGAGGAAGCAAGATGACAAGGCAGAACTAAAAAAAGGTACCAAGCCACAGGGGTAAAAATAAATAAGAATTATGGGTTGATTTAAGTGTAAGAGCTAGTCAGTAATAAGCCTGAGCTAGTAGCTGAGCAGTTATAATTAATATAAGCTTCTGAGTAATTATTTTATAAGTGGGCTGTGGGGCTGTGGGGGCCAGGTGGGACCCAAGAAACCTTCCAACTATACCCTGCTCCTAACTAAAACCCAATGGCTCATCTTCATGACTTCTGCATCACAGGGAACACTGAGGGGACTTTCATTCCAGTTTCCTACCAATGACTGCACTGTTTGTAGGCATGCCACGGTCTCACCTTAGTGAAGGGCTGCATCTTTGCATGAAGGAAAATGTATACAGGCAAAAGCCTTTTACAAGGGGGTCATGCAGTGATGTAGAAAAATGCAATGAATGCAGTGGTTTTGTTGTGTGAATGTCATAGAGTGTGATAATTTATGCAAGCTAAAATGGCACAGCTCCATCAATTGATATGTCTTTTGATCAAGAAACAGTAAACAGAAGATGTTATTGAAGCTATTGGTGTAGCATGTCATGCTATTTTACAGTAAACATACTTTAGTAGGTAGGAGAACCTTCTAAAATAAAAATTAAAAGTATAGTACAGTAAGTATATGAGCCAGTAACAGTTTATTATCATGCATCTTGTACTGTGTGTGGTTATATGTGCTATACTTTTAACCACTTGTGGTCCAGCAGGTTGTTTATATTAGCAACCCACAAATATATAAGCAATGTATCCTGCTATGACGTGTGATGTGATGCAATGACAGGGCATCAGAAAGCAGGGATTTCCTAGCCTCAACATAACCTTTTCAGATGTCATATGTGTGAGGTCCACTCCTGACCAAAATACCAGCACACAGTGCATGGCTGTACCCCAGTGTTCTGAGAGGCCTGGACTGTATTACTATGATACCAGCTGCCAGGATTTGGCATTCACTGTTCTAAGTGCTTCAAATATTGTACATCACTGAATCTTTACAAGAAAATAACATGTGTGGCCAGGGAGGCACTGTAGAGCTGGCAACTAAAATTCACAGTGGTCACACAGTGGGAAGCGGTATAGCTGGAAATCAGATGGGGGCTGATGCCTTCAACTCTGTGCTGCCATGGGGCAATCATTCAGAAAAATGGGACTGTTCCTCTCTGCAACCTACATAGTAAAGGACTTCATAAAAGATAAGGCACAGATTACCTCAGTTTGGATACACAAGTCTCTATGGTCAGTATGAAAGCAGCAGCATTTCAGATTTTCTCTGTTTGTGGCAAATTACCTTTATATCTTTAATGCATAGCATTTCTTGTATTCTTACCTTGCACACTCACACTTGTAGAGGACTCCAGAGGCTGCTCCACTGGCTGCTGACTGGGAGGGACAATTGGTGGGCTCAGCATGTTCAACCAGTCTCTAAGGAGAAAAGAAAGCAGATGAGCAACACAGTTGCAGCCCCACACATGGACTTGAAGTTTCCCCTTGGTTTTCATATCTTTAGGGTTTACGAAGGAACACTTTATCTTCCTTCATGTTCCAGTAAGAAAAATGAGAATTAATACTCAATTTTGTGACAAGGTTAATAAGGAGTTGATCACTTAACCAATAAATTGCTTGATCAAATCCACAAGCTAAATGATAACCATTTCTCTTCCTATCAGTTGGGTATCCAATACTGATGTTTAGCCCTGAAAACATACACTCAAGTTACACTATACAGGCTAAACTGGTTATATTTAGGAATATATATGCATATACATATATGCATATAACAACAATTAATGAAAAAAGAGGTCATGAATTTGAAAGAGAGCAAAGAGAGGTATATGGGAGGGCTTGGAGGTAGGTAGGGAAGTGAGAAATTAGTAATTACACTATAACCTCAAAAATAAAAGATAAAAATGATTAGAAGTTTATTATTAGTGCCATGAAAATATAGTATGTTTACTTTAAAAAAATATTTCTGTGTGTATGATGTGCATGTGGAGGTCAAAGGACAACTTGTCAGTTCTCTTCTTCCCTGCTGTGGGTCCCTGGGATCACACTCAAGTCCCCAGGCTTGGTGGCAAGCACCTTTATCCACTGAACCACTTCTCTATCCTGTAGTACAATTTTCCCCCAAAAGGAAACCATTTCAGCAAATCAGAAGAAATACAGTAGAGAAGATGCTCTTTCTGATCTTGGGTGAGAAAGCTTGACACAATCACGTGTGGTTTGTCTTGGATGGCAGTGTTCTCCACATGAGTTAAGCAGAAGTCAGCCTCGGATTTGATGTGAATCCACCTTTATTTCCCTTCCTCCTCCTCTCTCACAGCCTGCTGTCCCCTTGCTAGATTCTTGGGCAGGTACACCTCAAGTGGTGCTGTCTAGAAGGCACGAGTCCAGTGCTTCTCATCCCTAAACCTGCTCCTGAGCTGCTCAGGTGGAAGTGTGAAGGCAGGGGAACAGAAAGGATTTTCCAATATCAATCCTATTTGTTGCATGGATATTACCACCCTATATTGTTTATTCCTGTTATTTTAAACAGGACCATATTCTTATGACAATATTTTCTTTCTAAATTTCTGTATTTGGTACTTTCTTTAATCTACAATGGGAAGCAGTTTTAACCAGAAGCTAAGAGCACCAGCTCTCTGGCCAGGGCCAGATCCTTGTTCCCTACAGTAAGAGATTAGCCAAATCACTTAATGTTGCTAAGCTTGACCTGTAGGGAGGAGAAAGATGGTAACATTTCAGAGTTTTGCCTACAGATTAGACCAAGCCCATTTGGCATGGATCTGGGTACAGTTATCATTTAGCAAATTTCAGTTGCAATACACTGATCAAGGAAGCCCATGTGCTGGCCTAACCTACTATGATAAACCAAGGTGGGAACATGGTCTTGCTGGATTTAAATGAGTACAAGATGGCAGAATGCTCACTGGATTACATAGCTGATGTTTTCCTTCTGCAAGCCACTTATTCTCCAAGTATACAAGTATTTTAATGTAAAAAATTACTCAATTTCTACCTGAAATATTTTAAGAGACTTTAAATCACTGCTTACAGCTATCTCTAGATTATGGTTGCTGAAATGAGTGAGATGAACATGCTGTGTAATTGAATTTCATAGTAACACATTAAGGACATCAGAAAGGATTTGTCACAGACATTCAAGCTAATGGGACATTTTCTGCTAAGTACCTTTTATTTAGTCCATTTAATTATAGCAGACCAAAAAATCCTGTACTTATATAAAATCATGAGGTCATATACAAATTACCAGCCCAGGGACCTCATTTCTTCATAAAAGTGTTGAAAAACAGGTGAGCAGGAGAAAAGAATGGTATCATCTGAAGACCCTCTTTCCATTTCTGACCAGGGACTCTCCACTCTGTGTGTGTGTGTGTGTCCTACTCTTGGTCTAGGAAATTCTTGCAATGTGAATGGTGGTCCTTGTTTGAATGTTGGGACAATGACTTGATGTTATTCCTTTTCTGCTGTAGGTGTGGACAATATATGGGTCTTTATTTTGTGGTTAAAAAAAACTTCAAATTTAAAAGTAAATAACAAAAGAACTACAAAGAATTTGTGCATATTATTTACTAAGATTTTTAAAAGACCATTTCATTACATTTATTATTAATCAATTGGTCAGTCAATCAGAAGTTGTAAACCATGGCCCATGGGCCAAGTATATTTCATAGTCTGTTTTTGTATAGTATGCAAACTAATTTAGCCATTTATATTTTCAATGGTTAAATGGATATAATGTTCCACAGGATATGAAAACTATATGAAATTCAAAGTTCAGTGTCCACAAATGATGCTTCATCAGATTACTGTCACATGCTTGCATTCCAGTAATGTCTACATCTACTGTTGTCTTTTTTGTTTGTTTGTTTTTTTGTTTTTTCCGAGACAGGGTTTCTCTGTGTAGCTTTGTGCCTTTCCTGGATCTCGATCTGTAGACCAGGCAGGCCTTGAACTCACAAAGATCTGCCTACCTATGCCTCCCAAGTGCTGGGATTAAAGGCGTGTGCCACCACCGCCCAGCTACTGTTGTCTAAGTGTTCATTATCTGGTTCTTCATTGGAAACATTTGATGGCTACTCATCTCTAACTAGAAACGTGTACTAATTCCTACAGCAATAATCCAGCACCACATGCTCACTCTCCTCTCTAGCTTTTCTTATTAGTAAATTTGCTCCCATTTCCTCAGGGTATATCGGGTTATAGACACACAAAGAGTAGTCTCCAACACGCTAAGTGAAACAAACACTAACCAAGTGAAAACATAAAACAACACAACACAAAAAAACATTCCAGCATACTACACACTTGTTCTTTAGAGTTCTATACTTTCCGAGGTTTTTTTTCCTTGTAGTCAAAATACCATGCTCAAAATTTTCTTGAGTTAGCCCTCTCTGGTCCTCTTCAGTCTGAATGTATTATTCATGTGAAAGGAAATTGTTTGCTTCTGTTCATAGTACATTGTCAGGATTTTCCCTCTCCATTTTCCTAAAGTTATATTGTTTTTCTTTTAATGTTGTTGAATAATAAATCATTAACAATTGAAGAATCAAAATACTCAGAATAATGTGTTCAGATAAAGTTAGACCCTTCTATTCATCCCTGTGGACTCTCCTCTTTGGTCTATCCCCACCCACTCTCTTAAGAGTAATGTTTTGCTTGCAAAAGCAAGCCCAAACATACCTTTTCCCTCTTTTAAAAAAAATTTGAGATTCCCTTTCCTTCCTCCAAGTCCTCCCATATATGCATCTCACTCTCTTTCAAATTCATGGCCTTTAATTTTTTTACTGTTATTGCATGCAAGTATATGTATCCATAAACATATATTTCTTGAAAAAAAACACCTCCCTCTTCTCATACAAAAGCAGGATGCTATTGTTAGTTCTTTTGTCATTTCTTTATTTCTTTTTAACTTTTAGCTTGTAATATATCCTGGAAACTCTCCCTCATGTTTACAGAGCTCTTCCTCAGGCTTTGCAACTCCATCCTACATTCAGACATGTTTTCAGTGCTTGTACCTGCAATAAGCACCACAGGGAAGACCTTTGGGATCTCATCTCTTCTACAGACTTGGAAGTGTGTCTCCAAGATAAGTTTCCACAACAAAAGGCATGCTTGGTGTTGTTAGACACTGACAAATTCCCTGTACAAGGGGCAATTGTTAGATACTGGCAATGCCCTCAACATCCATCTGCTTTCTCATCAGCAATGTGCAAGAATGAGTTTCCCCAGAGCAAAAACTACATGGACATCATGTTAAGTTTTTAAATGCTTCCCAGCCTGATCTATGAGAACTGCTCTCATAAGGTAGTTTTGATTTGTCTTAATCCTTAGTATAAGTAGATTTGAATGCACTTTCATATTTAAGGCCATTTGGTAAATATACATATGTATACATATATATGTATATAGTTGTATGTATATATGTATGTATCAATCTACCCATACATATTCATATCTTTTTCATCTTATATCATAATTTTTCTATTTTTGTTTGGCTATTTGTCTTTGCTTTAGTTTTTTCCCTCTCTATATATGTTTTTTTATTTTCATATAGTCAAGTATATCATTCATTTTTTTAAGGCCATCTGTATTTAGAAAGCCGTTCCCTAAACCACATTTTATAGCAGTGCACCCATATTTTCTTCAAGTTATTTGTGGTAGAGGTCTGCGGGTGGCCATGTCAGAGGTGCAGCATATGACAACTGAAGTTCAGGTGTCAGTCCACCAAGAGGAAAATCTCTGAAGGATCAATCTTGTTTTAGGTAAGACCACAAGATTACAGACTCTGAAATATCTTCTGCTTCTGCTGTACTTTTGGTACCTGATATGATGTATATGGTGTGAGAAATCCCTCACTGCCTGTATTATAGTGTGTTTATCTCATAAATATATTTAATCTATTGGGCATTTATATCTGTGGATTGTTGGGAAGATGATTTCTCCTTAAGCAGTATAATTTTGATGAATAAAAATAATGTTTCATAGCTAGTGTAGGGTTCTGGTCTCCTCCTATATTGAGTAAAGCTGTTGCCTGCCTGCTTGCCGACCTTGACCAGATGTCCTCCCTATAATTCCCTGCCTTTATCCACCCTTCTGAATGCTTAAGGGACGTTCCTTGTTTGTGTATCCTGCATATTGGGCGTCAGCAGCTTAGATGCAAGATTGTAAACATCAGTAGCAAACTTCTGCCCTCTGGGGTTCTCCCATTGTGCTGTAAGCCTGTATTTAAGGTTTCCTCCCTCTTTCAATAAAGGGCATTCGACATTCTGCTGAGGCAAATGACCCGCTGTCTCTTGTCTCTATTTTTAATCTGCAGCCCCTCGCTCAGACATGGTGAATGGGTATTGGTAACGCGGGCGTTATCGCTACAAGCTAGGTCTATTGTTTCACACAAGGACTGT